TTCCCATTCTGATATGAAATGTCACCTTATTGTACGTTGGGTTCCCAAATACACATTGGACCTATTTCTAGATTTTGTCACATTCAGTGTGCTCCTTCTGTGCTGGTACCACAGTGTTTTTATTTATCAACTGCTTAGCAGTTGAGCGTTGACCTAGGACCCAGGAGGTCATGGTTTGATTTCTGGTCAGGCCACATGCTCGGGTTGTGGGCTTGATCCCCAGTCGGCGTGCAGGAGGCAGCTGATCAATGACAACTCTCTCATCATTGATGTTTTTATCTCTCTCCCTTTCCCTTCCTCTCTCTGAAATCAATAAAGATGTATTAAAAAAAAAGTTAAGTATAAAATTACCATATGAACCAGCCATTCCGCTCCTAGCTATATACCCAAAGGAATGGAAAGCAGGGAGTCAAACAGATACTTGTATACCAAAGTTCATAGCAGCACTATTCACAACAGCAAAAAGGTAGAACCAACCCAAATGTCCATCAATAGATGGATAAACAAAATGAGGTATATGCAAACAACAGAATATTAGTCAGCTTTAAAAATAATGAAATTCTAAAAAAAAATAAAATAAATAAAATGATGAAATTCTGATACATGCTACAACATGGATAGACCTTAAAAGCATTGTGTTAAGCCTGGCCAGGATGACTCAGTGGTTGAGCACTGACCTATGAACCAGGAGATCATGGTTTGATTCCAGGTCAGGGCACCTGCCTGGGTTTCGGGCTCAATCCCCAATGAGGCGCGTGCAGGAGGCAGCCGATCAATGACTCTCTCTCATCATTGCTGTTTCTATCTCTCTCTCTCTTTTCTCTCTCTGAAGTCAATAAAGACATATATATTTTTTTAAAAACACACACATTGTGTTAAGTAAAATGAACCATATGCAAAAGTTCAAATATTGTACAATTCCATTTATAACAGGTACCTAGAATAGGCAAATTCCTAGAGACAGATAGTAGAGTAACATAGTTTTATATGTTTGATACACCACTTGTTAATTTTGTATTCTGCTGTTTTTCCACATACCATTTTCCCACATTCCCACATACCATTATATTACAAATATTTCTTCACATTAAAAATCTATGAAAATTCAATTTTAATAGCTGTGATGTGTCATCACAAAAAATAAAGAAAAAAGTAGAATATACCAGTTTCCAAGTCGAAGATGTCAATTTTAAGATACACCATTATTGCCCAGCCAGGCATGGCTCAGCGGTTGAGTGTCGACCTAGTATCTAGGCAATCGGGGTTCGATTCCTGGGTTGCAGGCTCGATCCCCAGTCGGGGGCATGCAGGAGGCAGCCAATCAATGACTTTCTCATCATTGATGTTACTATCTTTCTCCCCCTCCTTTCCTCTCTGAAATCAATAAAGATATATTAAAAAAAAAAAAAAGATACACCATTATTTTTGGTACTAGTAAGAAAAAAGATGCTCCCTATTAAACTATGATCTGCCTTTTGTCTTCAAGATACATCTCTATTTTAGAGAGGTTAAACTGTGGGAAAAAATGTGTTTTAGAATCGATGAAAAAGATAAATGAATAAATATGTGCTTTATCTCTGTGTGGGAAAGGGTTTTCAAAAATAAAGGCCAATAATCTAAAAGGAAAGTGACTTCATTAAAAAGAAAAACTTCAGCCTAGCTGGTGTCGCTTAGTGGTTGAGTGTCCACCTGTGAACCTGGAGGCCATGGTTGGATTTCCAGTTAGGGCACATGCTTGGGTTATGAGCTCAATTCCCAGTGACAGCCAATCAATGACTCTCTCCCATCATTGATGTTTCTATCTCTCTCTCTCCCTTTCTCTGAAATCAATAAAAACATATTTTACAAAATTAAAAACTTTGGTTGTTAAAAAAAATCAGTAACAATGACAACAATTAAAAGGTAAGTAAACAGAAAAATGTTTATGGCAGTTATGGCCGTGGGTAAATAGCCTTAGTAAAGACCAAAAGATCACTGGAAAAGGAAATCAAACTGACAATTTATATGAGGGAATTGGCTATAATTGTATAGCCAATTTATTTATTCTACCTCACTGGTAATCAAACAAATGTAAATTAGAGATATTTCCTCTCTCAGTATGAAATTAGCAGATTAGAGGAAAGGGAATTTTTATTTCCAGCAAAACATGAAACCCTCACACACCAGAGAAGGTTGTTAATACTATAGCCTTTTCTTATTAGTAGCCTTAAAAATACTCAGATCCCTTTTTTTAAATGATTACACAAGTATACCCTTGCATTTTAGGAAGTTAGAAAATAAACACAAGCTTTTTTTTTTTTTTTTTAGAGATAAAGGAACATCAATTTGTTGTTCCACTTATTTATGTGTTGATTGGTTGAGTCTTGTGTGTGCCTCGACTGGACCGGGGATCCAACCTGAAACCTTGGCATATCCAGAGGATGCTCTAACCAACTGAGCAACCCAGCCAGGGCAAGACATGGTACCACCCACGGACAGGGTTCAGATCCTTTCATCAAATCATTTTACTTCTAGAAATCTAAGCTTAGGAAAAGGTCTAATTTTTCTGATGATCATACATTTACTTTTATTATAGAAAACAGTAGAAAAAAATTAGGAACCCCCCCCCCCAAGTGTGGCCATGTTATTAAAAGGTAGAAACATGATTTTTGTTTTTAATGCACTACCAAGGGGATCAGGGTTTTCCCCTCATCTAATCAGAAACCAGTGTTCTTAGCTCATTAATTGGGACCAGAGTGCTCAAATGCTGTCGCCTATTAAGAACACACCTCCAGGCGTGTCTTTGTGATGTCCCGGAGAGAGAGAACCTAAGAACGAAAAGTGTTCTCGCTTTCGAATCACCCACAGAGAGGCCTCCTTGCTGGGACTTGGGGGTCCCGCATCTTGGTGACTTCAGCAAACATGCCTTTCATTTCCTCTAGGTCTGTTCGCGGCTGAGGGCAGGTAGCATCGCTCGCCTTGCGGGTTCCCTGGGTGCCCCGCGGTTTTCCTGACGCGCGGTTTGCAGGCCCAGGGCCTTCCCCGGGGCTCGCCTGCGGGAGCCAACGTCCCTGCCCAGGGCCGATTGCCTCTGAAGGTCCTCGGGGATCCTGTCTTT